GCGCGCGCTCAGTCGCGGTCGTCGTCCGAGCCCTTGTCCTTGTCCCTCTTCTTGTCCTTCTTCTTGTCCTTCTTCTTCTCGTAGTACGAGTCCGAGTCCGAGTCGCGCCGGTCGTCCTCCTCCTCCTTGCGCGACGACTTTTTGTCCTTCTTCGAGCTCTTGCGGTCGCGCGAGTCGGAGCGGTCCTTCTTGCTCTTGCGCTCCCGCGACTCGGACTCGTCCGAGTAGTCGCGCCGCTTGCTCGACTTCTTCTTGGACCGCCGGCGCGAGCCCGAGTCCGAGTCGTCGTCATAACGCGACGAGCGGCGGTCCCGGTCGCGCCGCCGGTCGCGAGAGCGAGAGCGCGACGGAGAGCGCCGATCGCGCCGCGGGGAGGGCGAGCGCCGACCGCCGCCGCCACCGTAGCCGCCGCCGCCGCCGCCGCCGCCGCCGTAGCCGTAGCCGCCCTCCCGCCCCCCCGAGGGCCCCGCCTGCCGCCCGCCCTGGTTGCGCGCCATCTCAATCTTGACGCGGCCGAGCCGGCCTGCGTGCGCAGGCGCACAGATGGGTCGGGAAGCGGCGCGCGGGGGGTGGGGGCCGCGCTGCGCGCTGGGGTCGCGGAGCCGCACCGTTCCCGCCCGAGAGGTCGTTCATCATGTCTTGCGCATCGCGGTCGTCCTCAAAGGTGATGAACGCAAAGCCGGGCGGGTTGCGCGCGACCCAGACGTCGACGAGCTTGCCGAAGCGACCCACCTCGTCCGTGATCTCCTCCTTGGAGATGCTCGGGTCAAGGTTCCCCAGGTAGACGCGCTGCACCTGCGCCGCGTCGGTGCGATGCTGTGGCGGCGGCGCCGCGGCGCAGAGCGGGGCGGCGCTGTCGGGTCGGCCGATGTGACGCGCCCGGGGCGCGCAGGGGGGCGGGCGCGGTCGGCGGCGTTATGGCTGTTGGGGGGCGGGCGCGGCGGCGGGAGCCGGGGGAGCGGGGCACCATGGCAGGGTGATGGCGATGCGGTGGAGCGCCAGCTTTTTTTCTTTCGGCGAGGCCTCATCCTCGTCCTCCTCTCCTCCGGGGAAAAAGAAATTCCCTAAGACATCGACGCCCACGGCTGCACACGACTGTGGGTGTGCCGCTGCCCCGCCCACGCACGGAGACCGCGGGAGAGTTCCAGCGCCGCACGTCAGCCGTGATCACACCCTTCTCCCACGACACGGCTCGGCTGAGCCTCTTGGCGTGCCCACGCGCACGTACACAAGCGCACTGCTGCGTGTACTCTCCAGTGGGCCGAGAAAGATGGGAGGGGGGAGTGGAGGCCCTCCTCACCCGGCCACACCACCACGCCCAGGCGACAAGGCAAAGATCGGTGCACGGGTGTGAGCAGACACACACGTTCATGAGCCCCTCGTGGCTTGTCCTCGCTGCGGCTGCCGTGGCCGTGCGGCTCGCGCCCGCCCCGAGCCCGGCCAGCGCCGTCGCACGCGCCGCGGCGTCGCGCCCTCGCTCCGCGCTGGTGGCCCAGGTCTCCTCGGCTGCGCTCCTCAAGCAGTCCGAGGTGCTCGAGCTGCTGAGCGAGGCTGCAGACCCGCAGCTCGCTCCGCCGGGCACCGCGGCGGCCGGCGCCGACAGTCCGCCCGACATCGTCTCGCTCGGGCTGGTGCGCGCGGTGCGCATCGGCGACGACAGCGCCTCCGTCACCGTCCAGGTCGAGCTGCCGCGAGAGGCGGCGGAGGCGGGCGCCGAGGGGCGCCTCCGAGAGGTGTGCACGCAGCTGTTGCGGGAGGGACTGCCGTGGGCGGCGGAGGTGGAGCTCCGCTTTGACATCGCGCCGCCGCCGCCGCCTCCCCCGCCGCCACCGCCGCCGCC